GAGCCTTGACCCGATGGCGCAGGTGTTAGCAACTGGCCAAGGGCCTTGGCACCAGCCTCTTGGATTTAAAAGGACTCCCAGGCTGAAAGGGCAGAAGAGAGATTAAAAAAAAAAAAAAAAAAAAAAAAAATTGCCTCAGTCAGGGAAGTGTCAGAAGAAGCAGGTGCAGAATGGCTCGGTGCAGGTAGGAAATACTCCCCCAGAGACAGGACAGAGTTTCCTCTTGTTCTTAATTTGTCAGAGCTGCTCGATCTTCTGTGAGACAGGAAATACAAGGCAGATTAAGAAATACACTATGAATGCGCCTGTGCTGTGTTGGCTGACAGGAGGAGAGACAAGACTACTCCATTCCAATGAAGTTTGCTTTTTTTTCTGTCTTCCTTGTCTTCAGATTGGGCTGAAACCCTTTAAAAATGTGTCTGCATGGCACACAGCTCAGCAGGGCTCTGTGCACGAGGAAGAGTTTATTGGCAGCACAGCGAACTCTGTTACAGCTCAACTCTCACCTATAAACAGCAAAACCCCATGTGAAGGATTTGACTTCAAATTAGCACCAAGAACCATTTCACTCTGACCGCTCACTTAGATTGCTCTTGTGAACCTTTGAGTCTGTCCATCCTAAACTTTCCAGCCGTGCAGCCTCCCATGTTGTAACTAACACTGTTGCTGTACTCTTGATAGCAATAATAGCTTGAGTGTTAGCAAAGACAAGCTGCCAAGGTGCTATTGCATTATAGCGACCATAAAATCCATGCCTGCTTTGAGGAGGATTAGGCAGCGCATCATTTCAAGGAGCAGTGGCTGAGTACGCTATAGAAATATTCCTGTTGTGCTAAGCAGCCTTGACTTTAAAAGAAAAGCCACAGATACTTTTATGTGACTGAAATCCAGCAATGAATTCTGCTTGTCCAAATTTCTTCATTTACATTTTTTAAATGTGTTTTCTGAAGGGTAACTTTTTTGCTTACTTCTGTATTGAGAAATTTCAATTGCTAAAGACTGTTTGGGAAGGCTGTAAATTGGGGACATAGATCCATTGGACTTGCACATGGAAGGATCGTCATAGTAAGTGATGAGTAAAGTAATTAAACAGAAGTTCCTGACCTAGTGCTGACAGCCTGGGTTTGATCATAGGTCATGCAATGCTTTCACATTTTTTTAATACATCTTTAGTAGCAGTAATGAGATTCTTATTGATTTTTGAGGTGCTCTGTAATCTTGTCATTTGGAGGTGTTTAGTATTTCTGAGAGGAACTAGTTCCAATAATTTCTATCAAAATTGCATTTGGTAGCAAAAGGGGATTTTTTTGCTACAAGAAATGCTTTATTAAAATACCTGCTTTGAAGAAGAAATTAAAAGAAATATTTCCATTCTTTTGGGGTTACTGTAGTTGTGCCATATGGGAGCTGGAGATCAGGAATATCTCCCCATCTTTTCCACTGCCTTTCACTCTCTCCTTTGTTTTTCTATGTCCTAATCATTTTAATTATTTTCTCCTAATCCCCAACGTACCTGGAAAAGATTAAGCGGATTGCCTTTTTTGACAATCATTGGGTTTTCCCGTGGCGTTCTGCCCTGCGGGGTCCCCTCCTGTGCAGCAGCCCCTCGCTGGCTGCAGGAACATTTCTGGTGCCAGCACCAGTGCTGCAGAGCCAGGGACTGGTAGGAGCAGGCACCAAAGCAGTAATGAAGAAAGGCACCCTGAATGGAATCACAAAACCAAGGTTCATTATACGAAGATTCAATTAGTTCTTTAAACACAGAGACTGTGATAGAACATGGTGTACAAAACAGGATCACTGCCGAGTGTTTATAGGCAATGCATTGCCCGTTCCTGCTCATGCAATTAAGGTAACAGAGTTTCAATAGGCACAGCTGCAGAAAGCAGCTTTCTGATCCTACCTGGGTCAGCATGAAATAAGACTGCATTCAGTGCTAGTTTAGAAATTGTGCTCTAATTTTTTCCTGACGTGAAGAAATGAGAAATTGAACACAATGTGTTCCCTTTTGGAAACACAGAGGCTCCTTTTAAATTCCATCCAGGATAGCAAGAACTCAATACATCCATTAAAATCTGAACCTTAAAGGTGATCAGATTAAACCCTTCAAGCAGTAGCTTTGGATAAAGCATTGGATTTAGCCAGCATGATAACAAATCTCAGAATATTTTGTGAAGAATCCCAAACTGGGGCTGTTGTCATAACTGGTCTTCATAAACAATATACCTAGTTTTAGCTCTGTTTCCACATCAGCTGGGAAAACCCGCTGGGTTTTGGGCACATTCTGCAATCCTCTAATCAGTTGCTGAAATGTTTCCTCCTTTCTTCTAGTTGCACTTTCCAACATAAGTGGTTTGTGGCACTTCAGTGCCATTCTTTCTCTCCTTGAGTATTATTCTGCTGAAATTCTGCTCTTTCCTTTCCCCTCCACACAAACTCTGAAGATCTGTTCAGCCTTCAGTGCTTCAGAAGTAAAAGCACTGTCATTCTCAATGTCCCCTGGATTCCTGCACTGCTAAGAAATTCTGCATTCCTCAACAACTTTACAGTAAATTGAGTACTTTCTTGTCTCTATAAATGCCAGTGGGCTGTGGAGCTCACCTTGCCAAGATACACAACAGAAACCCCACTGCATTGCTTTCTGTACAGCAGATGATTTTATAACAAGCTTTGCAGGATGGAACCAATGAGCCAATTTCCAATTTTCCCTCTTTACATTTTTGCTTTATTGATATTCACTTATATGAACCATGTAACCTTAGGAAAGACAAAGGAGTAATGATTATCAGAAACCCCAACGCTGCTGGAGTATCCTGGAGAATCACCTCTACTAACTCTTTGTTCTTTTCTAGTGTTTTTTCTCGAGCATCCTCGCAGGACTGGCCAATATTAAATAATCCACTTTGGTAACTCTCCCACAACAAGCTAAATTATCAATAATTCCTAGTTTAGCAAAGGACAAAAGGAGCTTCAGACAGACATTCACAGCAAGGTAGCAGTATAGCCAAAAATTAATTCCAAGTTTTCCAGCCCTCTGCTCCCTGCTGCCCTGGTTCAAGGACCCCATCCTGAGCTTTGACCTCTCTTCCATGCCTCCCTTTTAAAAAAGCAGAAAATGCTTCTAATGCAGTGGTTTCCCATTTCAAGGAGTGATTCCCTTGAGATTTGCTCATGTGTTGCTTTAACAGGGAGGAAATACAATGTGCTTGTTAAAGGGAAAGCCTCAGAGTCAGGATTTTTAGGCTGTAGCTTTAGCCTTAGCTTTACCTCGATTTGTTTTTGTTTCTCCACCTGTAAAATGGAGCAGTGCTTAGTGATCCCTGTCATACAGTGTTATTAAGCCACTTGAATGTATGGGAAATACCCTGAAATCTCAAGACAAGTGCAAATGATTAATTCATTATTAAATCCATCGTCCCACGAAATCCTCTCTTTGGAACAGCCTTAATCCAATGTTTTATTAATATAAAAGCAATTATATTGCTGGCTTATCAGTCATGTGAATGGAAGCTTTCTTTTTCTTTCTTTCTTGCAGTGCGGAGGGTCCTTCCTCTGAAATCATGCAGATTGATTTTGAAATTGAAGACTTAACTGACTTACCCGGGACCCAGCTCATCACTTGGCAGGTGGAATATCCTGGAGATACAACATCTGATCTCGGAATCTCCAAGATCTACGTAAGCCAGAAGGACCTGGTAGGAGTTCTCCCTTTGGCTATGGTAAGAAAACGTTGGACATTCTGCACGTTTTTAATATTGCTTTACAATTTAAGTGTCTGGCAGATGCAACTGACCTGCTAAAAGGGGTGGTGGGATGGAAAGTTTCAGTACCTAGAGGAAGAGATATTAACTTCTGAAGTTTGCTTCACTCAGTGGTGAAACCACACGAAGGGAAACCATAGCTTCCCACGGGAGGCCCAGCCATGCTCTCTTGGACTGATAGACTGACTTCTTCTAGGCAGAAGCTGAGTTCGTGGCATTGCCAGTGGCCAGAACTCTTGTTGTTGCAAGAAGTGGTGTGCTTGGACAGTCTGTTCAATGTGATATGTGTCTTCCTTGAACCACGAGTACTCCCACATTTGATCTAGTGTTAAAGGACTTCCTGAATCAGAGTTCTTTTCAGTTTTTGAATTCTGACTCCATATTCATTTGAGAGAAGAGAAATAAATCATAGTGCAACTTCTGAGTAATTTTTAATTACCTGGGGAACACAAAATACAGTATATAGCCAACTGGTTTGGTTTTTTTTACATAAATGCATTCAAATGCGTTGCCTCGCTATCACAGTGCAAACTATGGGGCTTGAAAAATACCTGATCCTTTAGCCTTGATCTTACCTAAAAAAACCTGTTAGATATCCAAATGGCAAGTACAAACAGAAATTTTATGTTTCCTCTTCTCTCCCCATCACATTTCTGCATCATTAGGGATGAAGAATACTTGTCTAAGGTCTGAGCATGCCCCATTCTTGTTCCTAGACAATCTGTTAGGAAATATTGGCACGTTACTATTTAGCACTGAAAGAAAAAGAAAAATCAATCTCGGAGGATTTTAAAAAATGTAATCTTGACGTTTGCCTAGTGATAGCCAGTTAATTATGCCATTATTGAAGTCTGGAAGTGCAGAGAACACCTTCAGACTCACAGAACTGGTAATTCCTCTGATTGTTATTTAGTGAATTTAGAACTACTCAGATGTTGTAATTCTTTATTTCACCAAAAGTATTTCTTTCTTTTGTAATGGCTCATGCTTTTATTACCAAGGTGTATATCACAGCTGAAAGAGCTCTCTCCATCTGGTGTTGTGGCTGTCTAACAAATCAGGGTTGTGTATCTAATCCCTTTGTTTTGTGTGACTGTTTTCCTGGGCTGGGTCCTGCTGTTGAGCAGTGGGTGATCTCTGCTGGTTTGTTGATAAGAGGCTTTGGGGTCTGCAGATGGGACCCTGGTGTGCAGTCACACAAATTCTGGAGTATTGAGGATTAAGGTTGTAGAGGTGATATGATTTACATAATCTGAGATGTGGGGAGTTTTATTTGCTCCATCTCTTAATGAAAAGATGAAAGATTTCTTTCCTGTTGGTTGCAATGGCTGCAGAAACAGTGGTTCTTCTCATACATGCCCGTGATCCATGATTGCTTTAGTATCAAGTGGCAAATAGGATCAAGTGATTTGTTCATAAGAACAAAGATAGATTCTCCTGGCAGTTGCTACAAATAAACTCTCTCTTTTCATTTCCACTAAAAGATCCAAAAAAAAAAAAATATTTTCCAGAAGCACAAAATTCTATGCTCAAAGGACACATGAAGTCTATCAAGTTATCAGTAGGTGGCATTTTACAAGGCAACAGGTGTTGGAATAATGGGTAAGAGCGAAAGTAAGGATAAATGGCAGGGGTCCCCTAATTACTGACAGACTGGGAATAGTTTTGACCTTCTTTGCGTGAACTGGAGTGTCAGGGAGGAAACTCGGGGGTGTCACAAATCTCCAAATCTTTGTAGTACTTCATTCAGGTGCAGACCTTTCAACACTTGTAACTTAAATTAGTTTGGTACTTCAGATTTCACTGTGATCTTTGCAAAGCCAGCTTGTAATCTAGAAATTTAAAATAAAAACAGAATCACAATGAAAACAAAGTATTATATTATTTCTCCAATTCTGGAGACTGGGGTTAATTTGAATTAGTTTTACTGGGCTTTTAGTGAACATGTAACTTCATCTTTAGAAGCACCAAACTGAAATGCTGCTGAATATTTCAATTGCAAGTTAATTTTTCAAAGAACAATTTTAAGGCTTTAACATTAGGTAGAGCTTTGGTGTGTTTGTGGTTTTTGGTTTTGTTTTTGTTTTTTTTTTTTTTAATGGAGTGGCACATACCACCTCTGCACCATCTTTATTTTTTGCAGTCTTTTCTGCTAGCGATTATGAATTTGTTAATTGCAAAGCAGAAGACTGGCCAATTTAGAGCTTCCTGTTTCTTTTTTTTGAGTTACAAAATGTTGCAATGGAAAGACTTAAATGTGTATATCAGCATCAGGACACACTGGAAATACCTACCTTCTGCTGAAGTTATTAGGACTCTTGCTGCACTCACCTTTCTCCAGTGCATTATTTTTTCCTACGGCATATTAGCATTCCAGCTTTTGAGACCCCTGTAGGGCCCTGTACCAATAACAGCAAAACAAGTCACAGTGGAGCACTCAAGGATATTGATGAGAAAAGCTGTAGGGTGTATTTGATGGATGTGTGGGTACCATAAAGGCTGATATTTCTGAAACTTTAATAACATCTTTTCTAATTTTGAAGTGTAACAGAAGCTGTCTTGGTGAGGTGTGCATGGGACCCCTGGGCCCTTGTTAGCAGGGTGGGAATAGCAAGGGAGAAGACATTTAATTTGAGAACATTGTAAGAACCTGTGAGCACCTGTTTGGATATTTGCAATGCACGATCCTTTCCCTTAAGCCTGATGAAATACAGGCAAAGATGTTCATCCAGGGTTATAAAAAATTATTGGCCTTTTACCACGATTGCTTTGCAGCGGCTCTGACAGCCACACAGCAATGTCTTGCCTTGTTGACAGAAACTAAAACATCCCCTAAACCCTGGGGAAGAGGTAGATACTTGTATGGTATAGTGTTCTTCACCAGCACAGTTTCCACTGTAATTTGTGTGTTTCTTGCATGGGCACTATTCAAAACCCTCCTTTACTTCCCCGCTAACTTTCTCACTGCAAGGTCTGCGTCTGTGGGTATTGTGTGGAGAAGAGGGGTCTTAAGAACATGCTGATCAGTACGGGAATTATAGAAACAAAGAGTGCTTTATTCTAGATGGAGAATGCTGGACAAGGAATGACAGAGGATTAATCTATGGTAATTATTGAAAATTTGGCACTTTGGGAAAAAAAATCCCAAGTAAATAGTGAGGAAGGGAAAAACTTCCATGTTGTTCTTTGTTGTCAACTAATATTGATTCCTTTTAAATGTCATTCTTTTAGCATTCACCTGTAATAGGGTATTATTTGAGACAAAACTGTAGCACCTCTTAAGACCTTTGAAAATATATGGTATCGAAAAAGGCATATGGTCCATTTGTTCATTAACTGTCTTGAACACACTGCTGAGGTTTTTTGAGTTGAGGTCCTTCAATGAGTGACAGCCAGTGAGAAAAACATGCCTGAATCTTCTAGAATATGACATTATTTTTTATTGGCATCCTAAAGAATCGGCTTGCAATTCCTATTTGGCTTCTTTCTGGTGTTTCTTCCCTATTTTATTTCACTCTCATTTTGTTAGGTGATGAATGGCCCGGGTTTAATCAGTCAAATTGTACATTTGCTACTATTGATTATTGTTGCTTTTTAAACATTCTGTCAGCTCTTTCATAATTATGGTGTTCACCTTTTGTTGAACCTTAATGATTAGGTGAGGATGAGAGACAGATGAGCTCTGTAGCCATCTGTGTACATACAAGATAATCCCTACTGAGAAAGGCAGAGGGCAGATATGACATGCTGGTAAATGGGTAAGTTGAAATCTGTTCTGTAAATAATAATACAAAAAATTGTGAATAATAAAATACCTGGACTGGTTCTTAACTGAACCAGCTATGAATCTGTGAATCACCTGTCTTACCTGTGTGTGTGACCTAAACCTATTCTGTCTGTGCCCTCCCTTTTTTTAATAATCTGATAAGGAATCAGGGCAAAACACCTGTTTTATAAATCTCACAGTGGGAGATGTTGGCCCCAGATTGATAAATCCCTTATTAGAGTAGTCCTTTGACTAGAAAATATATTGTGTTAACTTTCTCCTAGAATACAGAGAAAAAAAATGCAGGCAGGATACTGTGTTTCCCTTCAGAAATTTCTTGAAAAGGTTGCAGGTTCTTGACCTTTAATTTTTGATAAATTGTTGTCCACATGCATGTTTTAAATTTATAAATCCACAAGTCAGTATTGGAGACAGCCTGGCTCACACAGATGTAGTTGCCCTGATGCTCAAGGCATTATTAGGTTTAAGGATATGGATGGGAACCAGAAGTTTCAGGTGGCGGTGGGACATACGAAGCTGATGAAGAAGCCAGGTAGTTGGATGGTGAGTAACCTTGTGTATAAACAGTCTGTGGATCTGGATTGCTTTCTTGAGAGACTCCCCAGCCCTTACAGATGAGTTGGTCCTAATGCCCATATGTCCGTGGAGTGCCTGTTTTTCCTTCTTACTGAGTACAGTGGGACAGCTCTTAGGAATGTTTATAATCTAGTCAGTATCAAACTAAAAATTAACCTCAGGTTAATTAAAGGTTCAGGAAGAAAAGATGGGATTTGAAACTTGATTAATGGTACAGCGGTGAGGTTGCAGTCTGCTTGGCAGAGGCAAGAACTCCAAAGAGAACCTTCCATCCCACCCAGCCGTATTTTAGCAGGAAAAGGTGGATGGTGAACAGTGAATTACAGACTTGTATCAGCACTGAGCTTCCATTATCTCTGGTTTTGGCCCATTATTTATTATCCTCAAGCAGTGCACCATCAGCCTCAAAGATGTTCAAGTGAGGTGTGAGGCAGAGAAAGATTTAAATCAAATGTAGAAAAAAATTCCGAGAAGAGAATCCTGATTTATGACAGACTTAAACAGAGTCAGTGACCAAAGTCTAGCTCATTACTTTGCAAGAAACAGGCTGTAGTGAAAGCAAAGAATTATTCCTGCTCACCTGACCCTACAGAGG